ACTGCCGGTCCATACCATCAACCCGCGCCTTGGCGACTGCGGTGAAGATGATGTCCTGGACCGTAGCGACGTTGTCGGAGCTGCTCGATGTTCTTCCAGATCGAGAGTACTGGTCTCCAGGTAGCTATCCATGGGTGACTCCATACTAGAAGTTTCGCAGCTGTTTGGAGGTGACGTGAATTCCAAAGGCCTTCTCCAGTCAGGCTGCGACTGGAGATGACTTCATATTTTGGTGTACATGAAGGTGATGGGCGAGAGCCTGCTCCTGCTTATCGAGGAACATCTTGGGTATCTTCCGCCCTGGTACTCGTATCCACGTCCTCTGTCTGGGCTGCGAAAACTTTGCTGATATGTGACGAAGTGTCTTCCCCCCCCTATATAACCGCTGGGTTTGTGTTCAAGGCCGGGCCAGCTGCTGCCCGTAACAGACGAACCTTTCATCCCTCGGATGACAGTAGTTTGGTGCTATACCAATCTGGGGAGGGGAGATGAAACCTTCTCTTGTTGTACAGGCTGTAGCAAAACGTTGCATAGACCGTATCGCATTCAAAAAGCGTGCTGCATTCCAAAAATGGAAAAGAAACGGAACCGAAACTGTAGGCTTTTTGCTCTTATTATCGTTGCAAATCTTTTCATCGATGTCCAGTCCAGAGATTTAATTCATAGATTTCTCCATGGAGTTAATTGTAATAAAATGCATGAGTACCGTGAAGGTTAATTATTCTTTTGTAGCCCACAGGTGCAGGGAAAGAGTCTGACAGGCTTACATACATTTGACATTAGAACTTTTCTGATTGGTTCTTCACAAAAACAGAAAGTACGGTCTAATGTGGGGCACTTTATTTCACGCATTTTTTTCATCCCTGTCAAGCCCATTGATACATTTTCATTGTTGAACCATCACACTACGAACTGCAACTGCAGAATGTCCTCTAAAAGGTCTTGCACAAATTATTTATTATTGACCTATTCATCTACTTGTCATTGTGAAGATTTTTTGAGACAGGGCACTGATGATACTGTCACCACAGATTAGCATTAGCTTACTTTCAGATGACTCCTGAGGATCGACAGGCCCTCAGTGAGTTGGGAAGCCGAATAGCAGCCATGGAGCGGAGACTGAGGAATGCGAAAGCCGCAAGGGTGAGGAATCATACATATGAGTCATCAATACTATGCAAATATCTCACAAACCTGACTCTTGCACTGGCAAGCAATGAATCTGTGCCCTCACTAAAGTGTCACTTATGAGCAAACTTTAGACCACGTTGGGGCTGCAACTGCGCCATCACCACAGTACAGATTGTCACAATATACAACAATTTTATTTCCTGATTAAATGTCGTTTGCGGGACGAATGAAGTAAACTTAAGACGGGGAGTCGCACTTTCCGCGAAGGGGTGCCCGGCGCCAACATAAGAGTAGTGAACTTCTCCCTGAAGGGTGGCCGAGGCGTTACAAGTTTTCTCGAAGAAAAATGCCTAATCCCATTACAAGCCAGCAAGTGGCGTCCGGAGAAATAACTATGAACTACTCTCACGTAAAAGTAATCTTCCCGTAGCTATGGGCTACTATAATACGACTGTGTAAACAAACCTAATTTGCTTTGTCGTTCTGGTCCCAAAGACGGCTATTCACTTGAGAGATTGGCCACATAAATCAAAAATTCACTTATCAACCTCGTGAGGCACACAAGAGTGCTACGATTCAAATGAAAATATCCCATATATGAAAGCATCCCCATGTCCAGAAGAGCAACGCAGTCACGCCCTCCTCTCTTCGAGAAAGAGCTTTGTACATAAACGAGAAGTTGTCTGAGTGCGCATAATTTTGTCTGTGCGTCCAGCCAGAATTTTTGAGTTGCTCGAAAAATCATTTTGGAAGCGGGCCAAGTTTGGTTTGCATGGGGGCACAGATCAAATTGTGCGGAGAACATAAGAGCGTTCACACTTTGCGGTCCGATCGCTGTTATGGCACGATTAGATCGCTCGAGCAACTGGATCGCGTGACCTCAGACAGAACTCCTCTGAAAATCGGTAGACCGCCGCAATGGCAGATTCCTATTGAGCTATGTTCATGCAGTACATGTACAGGGCTTTGTTCACCAATTGTTCACCAATTTTCGGTGGAGTGCCTCTGGTCGTGGTCGCGCACACTTCGCGAAAAGATCGCGATGTGTGAACGCGCTGTGAGCTGGACACCGCCCACAGTGGGCGCGGCTGAATACAAAAACTGTTAAAACGTTCCCAGAGCAATCCAAAAAGTCGGAAAAATAAGCGAAGGTCACCAACAGGTTGGCAAATGGAACGAGGGCATGACATCCGCGTTGGGCGAGGTGGGCACCGAGTGTGTGGTTGCAAAATTCATAATGGGCCCGAAAACAAGCAGGAGGCGAATGCAAGTCTACAGCTTCCCACAGTTAAACATTCGCAAAAATCTAGCGGGTGGTCTATTCAGTATTAGAGTGGGGGCCCTCTCTTGAAAATTTCAGGGAAAGACCCGCTCTCAAAGGAAGAAGGAGGATTGCACGTCCTTGCCGGGTAATCAGACTAGTAGAGTAAGCCAATCAAATCCTCTTTGCCCTATGCTGTGCATGAAGAGGAAGGATAAACTAAGGAACTTCTTGTTACAGTTGAATTTTTGTTGGAGTCTGGATATCGTGCTACAGTCTTGCAAGTTTTTAGAGTACCATGGTCCTAAGTAAAGCGTCTACCAATACGATAGGACTCTAGCCCTCCCTTTTGAGCTTGTTCTTTCAGTGTCAGGACAACTGCGATTTTCAGGACTCATATGTGAATTTTTTGAGAGAGAAATATCCTGAATGGCGACCATCGAAGTCATTTGCAGCTGCAAAGGGAGTGCACGTGAGTGGTGATTGTAGGGGACGTTAAATAGCTCTTAATTCTCCCATTGTTTTGATTTCAAGGCATCGAAAGACAGTATGGTTAATCGGCTGCTCACTTCTGATTACAACTGGGACGAAGAAAGAGATCGAAGGCAAAAATTCTTACCGACTTTCAAGCCGCGACCTCTTTACGAAGACATTCCAACCAGGTAAGTTCCATTGCTTCTGAGGACCTGCTAAAAGTTGCCTCATTCTCCTCTGATTGTAATGGGGTTCAGGGGACCACTATTAACCTCTGATATGGAAAGAATTCGGCGACGTCTCACAGAGATTTCTGGGCAATTGCGTACGATAAGAGAAAACCGGCTCAATCTTACCACTGAGGACTACCTTAGGACAAAAGTAGAGATTGCAGGTGAGCACCATTCGGAACACTAACACCTACCAACACGTCCAATGATTTGCTTTGAAGATAGCGGTGCTGATAGTGCATCCATTATGGCCATCCGCAGCCGTCTCAGTGACATTGCTCTGACGACATTTGCAGAGCCGGTGGCGACACCGACCTCCGATCAAATCGCTTTCATGAAACTCGATGAAGAACGGGACAACTACATGGCCGGTAAGCAGCAAATGTACGAGGGTTTGTTCTCGAGCACTAGCTCAGTCAAGTGGAGAAGGAAACGCTGATCCGATTTTTTTTCAATTGTGTCTCTGTTATACCTCTATTACTACGTTCTATTACTTTTGTATGTTTCCTTACTGAAACGTCCATAGTTAGACTCACTCTATCGAGTTCTACAAGATAATTCCATTATTGGGAAAGCCTACTTCCCAAGTCTTCACTCATTCATACTATCTGGGGGACTCATTAGCGAGCGAGTCTCGCTAATTATAGCCACAGGGTTATCGTTTTGGTGGATAGCAGTCCTTCTATTCTATAAAGCAGAAACTTCGTGTGTCGGTTTGTATGAGGTCAAGTTTCGCCCTGTGGAGGTCCACGGGGAAATCCAGCGATGCACACCCCCGGCTGGTAAAGCTTGTCCTCCCATCGAAAAGCCATTGTACAAACGCCGTCTGCGTGCGGCAGAGTTGTCGAATACTTATACGAAAAGTTCGACTTCTGCAGAGCGGGAATGAGAGTTAGAGTTGAGGCAAGAGTGCAGTTTTCGCAATGAGCAGATAAACGGTCGTGCTCGGATACCGTGGTGATTTGAGGCAGGTCAACGAGCCCCTGAAACTGGAGCTCGGAAAATCACCCTGGATCCTCACGGTCCACCACAAGGAATTCAATGTTCTCCCAATTCAAGAAGTTTACGCAGCATAATACAATGTTTGAATTCTTGTGACTGGGCTGTCTTCGAAAGGATCAAATTCGCAACTTCTTGGATATCGATCCTACAATATTTTTCGTTTCGGTCGTAAAGCCAAAGGGTGAGGTTCTGCTGCACTGCTAGGAATTCTTTTCTCTTCTACCCACTGCAACTCCAGCCTTACTCATATAAATGCTTTGCTTTGAAGGTTTTGACGAATCCTCTGCTGTGTTGTTTAGAGTCGCGCTTGTTTACCGATCTCCTTTCTGCTCAAGCGTTGTACTCTTGATAAGCATTTGATTGTTTTAGGTGACTTGAACAGAGATCTTAACTGGGAAATGAGCAGAGCTCTAAATTCGATTTTCTAAAATTCTTGGAATTCTTTTATGTTGTGCATTTGTTCAGTGTGTCGCTACTCCCTTAGGCGGAGAATCTGCTTTAGACATTATGTTATCGAATGCTCTTATTGTCAAAGCGTTTCGATACTATCACCTCCTGCAGCTTCTGAATGCTTGTAATAACTTTGAGGTTATCGTTCATACCACGAACTTCCATTGCCCAACTTCACCATGGCCGATTATTCTGCGCTACCAATTACTTCTCCTCTGTAACTTGTGAGGGTGCTTTTGGTGGGTACGCTCCTGTGATGACATGATCAAGACATTGTGCCGCCCTCTAAGGAGAAGTAGCCGATGTGTCCTTCTATTCCATGACTGTGCACAGGCGAAATATCCGGAACTCATAGTTAATTTGTTATCCCAGAAGGCGAAAGCGTCATTTCATAATGGGACACATGGTGACCCTTTGTCGAGTCTTCAGTACAAAAAAAACGGTGTGAGCTCGATTACAGTTTTGAAAAATTCCTAGTTAATATGTAAAGCTGAGTTAGCACTAGCCTTCGTAAGAGCGCTATCTTCGATAAAACATATGACCAAATCAATACTCATATATGTACATACACATGCGCTTCTTGATGAAAGTGCAACCGTTTATGCTGATGGTTAAAGAAGTGAAACGCCTGCACAGTTCTCTACGTCTCTCTTCTAAACTGAAAATTTCTGTTTTTTATTTCTGTGTGTTTTTTGTTTGTTTTTTTGTTTGGTTGGTGGAAGCATTCCACGGAATTTCGCGAAGATTCGCAAATGCCTTGATATGGCTAAGTTGAATCGCGCAGAAAGCATAAAAGAGCTGATTTCGTTATGCTAACGACGAGTGGAAATTCGTACAAATGCGCTCTCTTCACTGCGTGCACGTACAAGTTGGGGTCGGCATGAAGTCCTATTTAGGGACTTTGGGCTGCTTTTTCTGCTTCTTTTCAGCACAAATAGTTACGCTAGCATGTTCGGCTCGTATTCGGGGGCCCCCGTACGCGCAATCTTTTGTCGCGGGCTTTGCCTTTAAAGTCGTTGTTATAAAGTGTTTAATGATATTTTTCGTACTGAGTTTTGCTTTGAGTTACTGAGAGGAGACTTAAGACTGAAGCCAAGTGATGGGATTTGGACAGAACAAGGGCCGCCAAGCTCGCTCCGAAAGTTCTCTTTTACTCTATGACCACATACGATCCTGCATGTACCTATATCGTTCAGACATTCGAGCCGGTCGCATCGGCCCCTCCTCGAATAGAGCAGACAAAGCCTCTACTCTCGACAACTTCCGCTACCGTGCCGGCGGCAACTGTGGAATTACCGCAAACTGTAGATGAAGTCCACAAAGTCGAGCCAACCAAAGACCAACCAGAGATGGTCCTCAGCTCCAATAAGTCATCAGCTGCAGAAGCACACATTCCAGAAAGAAGGATAATAAAGTTTCAAGATGAGCAGCCCCGACAGAGTCAAGTTGAAACCTCAACGAAAGGTAGGTCCTCTCTACATGTATCTTTCCAGTAACACTTACTTTGTTAGCGAGGTGTTCCGTGTCTACGTAGTAGTACCTATCCGTAGTCTTTTCACCTGCCCTGGAACATTCATGTTTAGTCACTGATATCTTATTCAGGAACATCTGAACCTGCGCCTCAACCGCAACAATCGTCTGTTTACCAGAAGATGATGGGCTTGTTCGGTAATACCAGCACAAGCGATACTGAAGATGACATCTCCGTACACATCGAGTCATCCACGAATGTACTGAAGCCCCAAGTGTAAGTGTTTACAAATGGCCACTCAGATCTAATAGTAAATCAGATCAATTCAGCTCCCAACCACTGCAGCCCGTAGCGCAACCAAGTAGCGCCAGCATGTTGTCGCAGTATCTGGCTGCTGCTAGTTCCACCAACAAAGATGCCACTCCTTCGTCGGACAGTGATGATGATTTCTTCAAATAAATCCTAATATATTAGAGAATACAAAATGATTTTCACAAAACAGGGTACGGCACCATGGAGGGTTGGGAAATGTGTGAAGGTTCGCCGCACGCGGTGATCATTGGAGTATTGGCAGTATAGGCCTACTCTTAGTCATGATATATTACCTGTTCTATGGTGTTCTCATTGATGCGATGCTAAAGAAGCTGGTGCTTTGAAAGTCAGATTTTGTGGAACTTTAAACATCTGCAAGTTACACATTTCGAAATTTGTTTGTTCCACTTGCATCTATTGAGTTGCAGCGTTCAGATATCCAGCTGAGTAAATTGAAGGATCAGAGCAAGTAGACCGATTTTTTTGTCTCAACATCGCCCACTGTGCATCACGGATGCGATGGTGGTGATGTGACATATCAGCAGAACTTGGCGGCTTCCCATGGGCTGGTACTGTCTGGTTCAGGTTCAGAAGGCGTACAGCACACGCGAGAGATGAAGGAACTGGAATGGTCACCGAGAGGCGCTGCCACCTCTGCGATACGCTCCCCATGTTCGCCCTCAGGAAGTAGCGCCGGAGCGCAAAAGGGTAAACAACAGCCGGTAAACACTGTGTGACCAGCAATCTCTCAAAATTACTCCACCCAATTATAAAATACGCTTCCGCTGTCGTCCACTTCCCAGCGCTGTTAATCAGTCACCATTCGTTTCTTATTGCCTTCCTCCTTGTCCTATTGTTGTTTACCATTCATCGGCAAAGTGCCAGGAAGTTCTTTGCTTCAAAACTGCCGTGGTGCAGTGCTGGCTTGTGTCTTTTTGCCGCAATCATCGTTGTGGCGACAATAAGCACGCGACACGTACGCTCGCCGGTGAGTTCTTTCGCGAAGAAGGCTCACCCCTAGCTAGTTATTGGACAAGCCACGGTATTTAGTGCCCATTCGAATGCGACCCATCTGGTTAATGATGGAAGTACGGCGAGAATTGCACCCCAAATGAGACTGATCAGAATCGCCCCTTGTACCAATCTCGAGCGGCTTGGATTTGCTAAACTTCACACTCCTGGCCTAAGCGTAGCCCATTTATTGGGTTGGCCCATAAGTAATGGCGTTTTTTCTCACAAGTTTTTATATGGAGAATGACAACTGTTCCCAATATGTTCTACACTGTTTGATAGACTTTTTTATTTTAATGAAATGGAGTCGGGTCGACCCAAATGTGAGTTTTCGACAACAACTTTTTGCACTTTATCTCGGCTCTCAATTACAGAAGAAGCTCAAACTTGTGGTATATATGACCAAAGAAAGATGCGTCTTATGACAGCTTGAAGTTGGTTCAAGCGATCAAGAGGTGGGAATTCGGACCTTGTAAAAGAGCATCGCGTGGGGGCCCTCTTGGGGAGGGACTGCCTGCAGAACCTACCCACTTATTTTCGAACGTCTAACATCAACTGAGGGTGGTGGTTGATAATGATAAGGAAGCATTCTATGACCTCTAACGATCCTCAATCTTTGGCATGATTCTCAGTTAATAAGGTAATTCCGTAAGCTCTCAGTTGGACAGAATAGAGGCATTAGCATTGTCTGTAAGGTCGGAATTGAAATCTTCGAACCAGCTAAACAATTGTGAGCATTCCTAAGAGACAACCCTATTGGCCGTGTATTTAGCAACTGGGCCTGTGCGGTTTTAGCTTTTTTTAATTAGAGGCAAAAAAGAGAGGCTGTCGAAAATGCTCAATTTCGTCGACCTGACACTCCAGTTTGAGCACTTAAATATTAGTGAGAGAGAAACTTGAAGAAAACTAACAAGACTATCGTATAGGGCAGGGAATTCTCCGCAATCAGTATAAAACTCAATGGTAAAACTCCTCATCCTTAGAGCGATATTTTGGGTAAGAAAAAAAAACGCCATTGCTTATGGACAGACCCAATACTTCCATGTATGGCAAGGACGAAGACTGCTTTACGTGGCCGCTTGCGCGGCACTCGCACTGATTCAATTGAACCAGAGTGTTAGTGCCGCAAGGTACCAAATCAACAGGTGGAAAAATTCTGGCTAGTTCGTGCACTTCGCAGCAGTGTAGAACTTTCGCCACACCACACACACCCTTCCTGCAGCCTTTATGAAAGCCGGTTGTCTCCCTAGCATGTGGTGTACAAAAATGCTGAAACAGTGTATACTCCTTAACCCTGAGCCAGAGTAGGCATGGCATTTGAACATGGCAGGGGATGATTGAAATAAAGGGTAAAAGGATAAAGTCTTCGCCGTTGATCAATCCCTTTGTGGGATGCGGCACGCATTCTACTTCCATTCAGAATCGTAGTGGCTTATTGAATGCGATGTGGCCTATACAATGACTTGCGGTGGCCAGCCGATGTACAAGTCAGTGTTTTATCCTCCCAGACGAATCTGGTACCAATTTACCGTCCCGAGGGTAGAAGGCTTGGTTGGCCTGGGCGGGAATCGACCCGGGATTTGAGCCCGCAAGTGGTAAGCGCGCCACTTGTCACTACAGTTAAGTTGGGCCCAAACTCAGGTTAAGTTGAAGCATGCGGCCACGCCTACCCGACCTCAGGGATTTTGAGTATAGGTAGTAGGTAGGCGGGAAAGTTCTGTTATAGTTTTCCAAATTTAAAATACTTTCAATACTATGAAGTGTGATCAGAAGTGTGAGTAATAATAGCCAAGAAGATACTCTCCCTGTAAGTTTCACTCGTTTGTCTCCTAGTCCTTGTTTTGCAATATGGACAACAATGACATCCAGAACAATGACAGACATCGACCCACGAAGACCACCCTCAGACTCTTTTTCTAACACTCTGACACGAGCATGGGAGCTACCGAGAGCAGGAGAAAGAAGCTGACTAAGGATGATGCCCCAATTATCCTACAATCTTCAACGACGCCAATATCCCAAAGCGGGAGCTTATACGTTTGAAGGCGAAGTGAGGTTTGGAGTGAGGATGCCCATGTGAACTCAGCTTGAGGGAGCCGCGGCCACTGAAATTATTGGACGGCTGTGGATGGAGAGACTGCTTCCAAGGTCGATCCCTACACAAAGCAGTTGCGACATCTGAAGCGAATAGTCAATCAGAGGGAAGAGCTTGTTCGCACAGCCTGTCTTCAACAAGACGGGTGCAGCCACACCTTCTGAAGAAAGTGGAGCCGAACCAAAAAAAAAACCAGAGCCGAATCATACAATGTAGTTAGACGGCTCTCCCTTTGCACAGACAGACACCCTTCCAACTGCTATGTAACCTCGTCATCCGGGCAGTTGATTAGGGCGGTCGTCAACGGGCCGCAGCGCGTGCCAGGAACTATTTGCTTTTCCAGGCTAATTTAGTCATTTTTTCCACCTTGTGAAGATAAGGAGCTGCTAATCTGGGAAAAAGTAGCCAAAACAGTGAAAAGTTGGAAAAAATGACTAAATTAGCCTGGAAAAAGCAAATAGTTCCTGGCACGCGCTGCGGCCCGTTGACGACCGCCCTAATCAACTGCCCGGATGACGAGGGTAGTTGTCTTCCGTACTTACCCTATATGGTCGAGAAAATCTTTACGACCTGAACTTAACTCAAAATCGAAATGATGTCCAACTTTTAGTTGCGCCGAGCTGCATTGTGAAGCGATGGCAACCGTTACGTACTCAAAAACTGGAAGGAACCCAGCAACAACAATGCTGTATATTTTTGAACTTTCACACCTCTCCATAAAAAGGAAGTCCAGTCCTAGAAAAATGTGACTGCTCATGGCGGAGCACAACACTTCAACATTCCTAGGACAGTGGACTGTGATCTAGTAGGCAGTTGATTAGGGCGGTCGTCAACGGGCCGCAGCGCGTGCCAGGAACTATTTGCTTTTTCCAGGCTAATTTAGTCATTTTTTCCAACTTTTCACTGTTTTGGCTACTCTTTCCCAGCCGTGCACATTTGTAGTCTAAAACAACTTTCAGTTCCAGTATCAAAAAATAAACATATTGCTAGAACAACCCGGTTCCTGTAATCCCAAAATATTTCCCGATATTTTTCTCGAATAATCAAAAAACGACGCGGGGAAAAATAACTATGCAACATATAGTACGCATGAAACAGGAAAATCACCAAAAGTCAACCACCACTCCTACAACGCCAAAACGTAAATACGACCCCCCCCTCCCAACAATGACCAAGTACGACCCCCCCCTTACAACGTCCGTGAAGCGAGAAAAATCAACTATCAAAATAAATTTTTCCCAGCCCAAATACGACCCCCCTATTGGGGATTCCCCAACAACGATGTGCCTTGTGGCAGCGACTGCATCTCTGGTGGGATATTTCAGTTTCGGAAAGTCTGCAATGTGTCTCTGTTCATAACAGAAGAGGAAGACGGTTGTCATAGAAAGGTATTTACTAGAGTCGAATGCATAGCCATCTCCAGAAGTATGCAGCCACGCCCTCTCAATATCCGTGGTATGGAGTGTAGATCGTAGAAATTTCTAACCCCACGATGTCGTTCCTTCGTATGTATGCGCATAAATAGTCTGCAACAACCGCACTGCTCGAAAACCGGTTCTTAGGTTTCGTATCTACCCTTCCATTGGACTTCTACCTAATTCTTTCTTAGCATCGGTAGAGACGAACGTCTTTTCTCGAAACAATTCAATGTGGATGAAAAAACCACAAAACAGTTTTCATTCTGACAGACATAAGAATGACAAGCTCTCAAAAACGCATGACGAAATGTACGGTTATCTTCATCAGGCACCGGTTATACCAACGATATTAGACATGAACATCAGACAAGAAAAAGTAAAAAATGCGTTTCCAATGTGAGCTTGTTTACGGTTAGTGTTCAAGATTATAATGAAACAGTTTAAGTAAAAGTTTCCCAATCCAATTTCAGCTTATTTCTTCATCTTGAGAGAAGTGACGCTCCTGCAAAAAACAGAAAATGGTCAATGACGAAAACCTGCTACTATGTGCTTGGCTCACATATCTAAAAGTCATCGAAAGTTACGAATTTGATATTTGTATGCTATGCACACAAGTATCAAAATGTACGATATCAAAACATATCCACCAACAACAGTTCCAATCAATACCCAGTAAAAATGAAAAAAAGATACTACAAAAAATTCATGAGCAAGCATGATATAAATCTTGAACTGATAAAACCAAAAATTCCCTTGCCTGCAAAAAGGGAGGTTGCACCCCTCTCTCGGATTGAAAGTGCCCATTTAGCGGAAACGTAGCGTTATGTGACAAGAAAATCGTAATTTGCCGCGCTGGTGGGCGTCGCGTGCGTCGTCGAGGGCGCAAATCACGATGTTTCTGGGTCGTGAACAGCGACGACCGGCAGCGTGTAACCAAAAGAAGTATAACTGTCCGCTATGTCGTAGACTACTTTAATCCGGTGCTCCAATCGACAGGCTGGCGCAAATCAAATAACACCGCGCGCGATGGAGCGGCAAATAGAGGTTGTCTTGAACGTCTCCCTAGTGCAGGTGCCGCGTGGTTGACCTTGCTGGTGCATACTCCATCCGTCTGACCTCTCGCAGGCACTTTTCTCATCATATGGTCATAATTCGAGCAAAATGGATCGCTAAAAAAGGTTGTAGGTGAGTACACTCTGGGGATTTCGTTTAATTTTCTTTCCTTAGCCCAGCTACCCTCACTTTGCAACCATGGAATGTGCCTAATGGTTTGTAAGTTGTATTATTTACGAAAACGGCCCTGAGGCATACCAGAGAACTCGGCAAATATATAGAAATACAAAAGGAAAAAATGGCAGAGACATTGGTAGAAAAGTTTCGAGCTGAATGGTGGGTAAAAAACAAGAACCTTAGAAACAAATTTTCAACTGTATTCGCCTAAAAAGCAAAAAAAAATCACCGTTGGGAACCGCCACTCACTCGATAGTGATAGTGTCCTGGGCAGCTAAAATGAAAAATTTAGAACTCGTACCCATTAATGAAAGCATTTGTGACTGTAAAAAAAGCAACAACAATAAAATGCTCGATTCGAAACAAATTTATTTTTTTAATTGTGTTCTGCTAATCTGTTTGTTTTTATACCTGTCCACTCCCTTGAAACGTAGACCCACGCAGGGGGTCTTTGGCTTGTCTGCGGCTAACGGGCCCCTAGCTGTCGAACAGCATCTCCTCCATCCGAACACGCGCGGGGATGGGTATCCAGGGTCGATGGATAGGTCAGCTCCGTTATACCCCGCCAAAAGCGACTTACGCGGCAGACACGCTCCACGCCGCCATAATATCCCGATCGCATCTGTTTCCACCGGCGTCCATAACGCGCGCGACCCTTACGGCACTTTGCCAAGTCTTGTAGTTTACGCTTTCAAGACGATCAAAAACGCACATCCTAATGCGCATCAGCGTTGTTCATTGCGATTCAAAAGCCCAAAATACGAAACGCCAAAGACCTGGCAAAGGGCCGGAAGCGTCGTGCGCGACATCAGTTGTGCGGCCACCGATTGGAACAGATGCGATCGGGATACTGTAGTGATGCGCAGACTGCGGCGTAAGTTGCTTTCTAGGCGGATTATGGAGGAATTAGCCGATCCCATGTTGATGTAACTCAATACGTGCGCATCTTCGGACGTGGTAAGCACTACGCTTCGATAGGTTTGTTAGCCCCGCACATGCCAAAGATGCAGTTTGCAGCTGAGCGTGCGCTTTGCATTTAAGTTCGATTAGAACGAAGTGAATTTCAAGTTGTACGATCCGAATCCTGCCCGCTCTCTTGCCGAAAGAGGGACCAATTCAACATTCAACTACCTATGATTAGCAGCTGTTATTATTACTCATTTATTCACTGACCAGCCGGCTTTGCCGGCTGATGCCGGCGCGCGTCCTTCCGAGATATAAGCGGCTTCGCCGGGCGGGGTCAGAACCGCCGCCCTTGCCTTTTTCCACATATTTCAATACCCAGCTAGTATCCGGCTTTTCTTTTATGTGAGCAGATGTTCAACTTCTCTGAACAATAGCATCATACCTGCATTTTCAACGCTAGTACGGTGTATGGAATGGTGGTGAGGTTATTTTGTGTTCGCGATCAAATCACTGCCACTATTTGATACTGCAACATGTAATGGTTCGCCAGTTTTGCATACGGTCGATCCCTCTTCTGTTCGCCCTATCACACTCCTAGACGCTCCACAGTCGCTGCGTGCGCCTGCTCAAAGGGGAGCGGCGGTGATTCTGGTATACCATACGCTACCCTCCCACTGGTTCGCCTCGCCAGCCTCCATGGGCTTCGTCCAGTTGCCGCGCGAGAAGATTGTGAAGTGGCTTGCAGTGTACAAAAGGTTATGTTGTATAGTTGGTGGAATTATTACAATCAAAACAACATTTTAGTTTGCTAATATGAATTAGCTTGCAGTTTCGCTAGCAGTTGCTTCCTACACTCCGGTTGCATGCTCCTGTTCAAGCGTGCGCTACGCGTCCGCTCACTCAAACTACATATTTCCAAGTCCGGGTGAGCAGTCCAGTGTAGGACTCAATGAGTGCCGTTCTCCTCCCCTCTCTTCCCACCCCCCCCAAAACCTATTCCCCGCACGACTTCACGTCAAGCCGTCACGCAAGCAGCTTGTGAGCTTGTGCTCGGGGTGTACTAAATAGTTGTGTTGTATAGTTGAAAGTATTATCACAACTAAAAGAACATTTTCGCTTGTTACAGTAATGTGATTTATTCGCAGCTTAGTCAGCGGTTCTTTCCTCCTCTTTGAGCGCTGCTATTCAAGCGTGCGCTACGCACCTTCTCACCGTACCCGTTCACTCGCTTCCCTCAAGCGCCTTCACGTGCATGTTCCCAGGCCCGGCTGAGCACGTCTGGTGGAGGGAAGCAGGGGGGTATCCAGTCCCCGCTCCCATCCTGCCCTCGCACGGCCTACGTCCAGCTAGCACGCGAACAACTTGTGCAATGGCTCGAAGTGTACTAAATGGCTGTCTTATATGCCATGAGGGTATACGCAATCGAAACAACATCCTAGGGCGTTTCATGATCATGCATTAATCTGCTTTTTTTCTAGCGGTTGTTTTCTTATCTGTTGTTGTTGCTGCATGCTACCGCTCGAGCGTGCGCTACGCGCCCCTCACCGAACCCCTTCACCGTACACCCTCCCCTCTGCTTCCTTCCCTTGCACATGCTCAGGTCCAGCTGAGCACGTGCAGGGGTTGGAAGCAGAGGGAGGGGTCACTCGGTGCCCCCCCCTCGGCTCCACCCCACCCTGCCCCCGCACGAGCACACGTCCAGCTGCCACGGCAGCAGCTCGTGCAATGGCTCGGAGTGTACCGAATGGTTGTCTTATATATGCTGTTATCACAATCAAAACATTGGATTGATACATCTGCACCGATGGGTTCCCGGTTTGGCTAGCGGTCGTTTTCTTCTTTCACTAACGTGTTTAATCCCGTAAAGCATTTTGCGGACGGACAGACATACAAACCGACATACATACATACATACCGACAAACCGACACACAGAGTTAGTGGTTTATAGAATGTAAGGATTACTCACTTATTTGTTCTGACTGTGCAGTGGGCTCTGCCGAAGTGGGACGATCTGCATCAGAGAACGTGAGCATGCGAGATGAAGTGGGAGCGTCGCCACAGCTAAGTGCTGACGTGGGCCGACGCGAAACGGAAATGGATCGGCTGCGGACCTTTACACAGCTCAGTCCGTGGGTCCGCATGTTGCTTACCCTTAAAAAGTACAATGAGACGAATGAAGCTTATTTACAATCGATAGTCCTACTTTGGCGTCGTTGGGGCAGTTTTCTTAGGAACAGCAAGGCGGGCAACCATTGCACGTTCGTCTTCTTTCGAAAGTATTTTCTTCGGAGACGGTACAACCGAGCTTACTGCAGAACCAGTCTAGAAAGCATCTGTGAAATAGGTTTTGATCAACAAGCTAACAAAAAAAAGGGATGGCAACAGCCCAGTCCATTTCAACAGTCATGGCCTCCGTCTACAGGAGGATAATGTACTGTATTACACCACTGGAATGGACTTTGCCATCCACATTTATCAGAATCGTTCAGAACACTACACCTTAATTGAAGTTTTTGCATGGTCACATTTTTCACCGATATTAAATCCTTTCGGAACAGTGGGAGCGCGGTGAGCCGGAGTTAGGCCCTACAACAACACTATTTGCTGTACTCCATGCAAAAACTGCTATTAATGCCACTTTGTGCACCTTCATAGTGCCAAATAAAAGTGCTAGACCAGAGAGACTATTTATTAACACATGGCTGCCCCAATTTCCCAACTTGTGTCAAAAATCGTTAGAATCTTTCCCTTTGCCCTTTTCCATTGTAATGAAAGGTATTAAGGGGTCAACTAGATTCTCGATACAAACACCATTTGTTGGAAGCCACTAAGCGCTGGAGTCTCGTTCCACAAAAAGAAAACCTAGAGGGCCGCCGAGCCTTTTCAAGGCACACCTCGCGTTCATTTGATCTTCAGGCACCTTCTTTGGTAGCCCTCCCTGCAAGGGTGAAAGATATATGGTCTAATTCGCTGCAGATGATGGGGCATGTCAGTGAGGTTGGGTTTGGTACGGCTCCACATCCGTTTCCACCACTTGTTGAAGCAAGAAACGAAAACGCCCGCTCACTCGCTTCAACAACTGGTGGAAAACGGACTGGCGCCATGAAACCCTTCCCTCCAGGCAAGCACACAGGGCACGTCATCGTTGTGATAATCACAACAGCGGGGTCGTATTTGACCGGGTGGGTCGTGAGCGCAGGGCCCTTTCTGAAATGGGGAGTGCAGCGATACTCAAATGTCGTGCAACTTTAATGATGAAAGAATACTGTGGAGAACACCAAGCAACCTGGCAGCGCAGAAGTGGTGAACGGCTATGAAATCCGGTGGCCGCCCACGACGTCATGAATTAATACAGATGAAAGTACACTTCCGGACCTTTCCGGTCACAAGAGCATAACTGCTTGCATGGAGGAAGCGTTATCTAGAGGTTGCATTGCGAAAACATGTGTTATAGAAGCATGCCAAATCTTCAAACGAACTGGAAGTGAAATCGAGTCGGAGGTGTGTCGCCCGGAAGATGTAACAAGAACACCGCAACGGAGAAAAATTTGAAAGCAAGCCTATGAATAAAATGAAAGTCTTGTTAGAAAGCAGAAACCTCAGAATTTGGGCGCTATTTTCTGTTTTACGAACGGTTTTGTATGAAGATTGGTATAGCTGTTCAAAGCGAAGAATCATAAATCACATTAAAATGTAACGACGGGACCAGAAATGTAACTTCCTAGGAGATTTACAGAATCGCTTAGTCTCGTTAATAATTGCCACCCCACTGCTTTACAGCCCGCTCTCCCCTCTCCAGAAGCTACACTTCTAAAGAAGTTATGGTTGTTGAAGTGAAAGGTACTTCCGGAGTGCATGGCTTGGAAGTGAATTCGGACCGTGAAACAACTTGCTCCAATGCCATGGCACAAGGCCTAACTCTAACTGCAACTTTGGATGGCCGCGAACTAGTATCCAAGTGCTGGCACTTGCATTTTCCCGTAGTTTCCTTCCTTTTTTGTGTATTGTTCATTTCATTTGTAGCTTATTATTTTTGTGTACTTATTTATGGTTTATTATAGGTTTATTTAACAGGTTTGAACATCAAAGTTATAATCATAAAAGTAAACTGATTAAATAACATGAAAATCACATTATTATAGCACATTTTCTTCGTGTTCCTCACACTATCCTTGATTACCCTCGCGTTTTTTGTCGTTTATTTTCGCAGATCTTCCATTTTTCCGGTGTTTGTTTGTCCGCTGCTAATCTGGTCCGCTGCTACCAGATTAGCAGCGGATAGGGTGTCGTATCGAGAATCCTTCGGGGAGCGTAGGATTCACCACAAATTTATCACAACGCAATGGCGTGCATTGCATGCACCACTGTGTGCAGCGAGTAAAACTGTACGAATTTCGCAGCTCGAAAATGTGGAAAGCGTTGCCTGCTCGCGACGAAAACGCAGCCCCGCCCACTGACCGCGGCGATGTCTGAGTCTCATGTTTAACTGTTTCCTGATGGTGCGCATGTTTTGCTACAACCTGTTCCCTTTCGAATGGTGGGCGTGAGGTAGTTAGCAGAAAGAGTTCGCAGCAACAAGAAGGAACTCGCCGTCTTCCGCCCCTTCTTTGCCGTAACAGCATGGGTCAACTTGGGGTTCTAAATGGGCATTTGCGGTGAATTTTTCTGCTTTTTCCTCTATTGCTAGATCACTTAATACCTTGTCACCAGGATTTAAGCCGTACAGTTCCTAATTTTTGACAGGGGTGTGATTTATACCTGAGTCTAAGTGTAGAAGTAAAAGTGTCATGAATGCAACAGGAAAAAAATGTGACACGGCGCCATCGGCAAGATCCTGAATAATGAATCAACTGCCGGAACCAACATTCGTCCGAATTCACCGGAGGGGCAGCCATGGTTTTCTTTCTATACTCACCGTCGGAGCAGGATATCTCCGAAGTTCTGATCGAAAACCGCGTGCCGGTGTGGAGTTTCCAGCTCCTACTGGAGCGACAGGAGTGCAGCGTATTACTGAGGAACGTGGTTCGAGTGGCCGAAGACTCTTGTTGGGGCCTACAGAACTATGAGACGGGGTACCCTGAAGTAACTTCATTAAAATTTAACAGAACATACAACTGTGTAATACTGTGGGTGCCCTTTTAGCTAAATTACTTCGATTCCCAACAGTTCCCCTTAACCATGCTTTCTCTGTGTGAACAGTACTGTGGATACATAACTCCCAAAGCCACTGAAGTAAACTGGAAAAATAAAGAAGGAAAAAACCTTTTCAGTAACTGTGCTTCTTGCTGTGGATGTTATAGATACAGGAGCTCTCACAGATGTTGCCCGAGTTGAACCACTGGTTGCAGTGCGGGAAGGCGGCCGAATGGTCGAAGATGTATCCGGAATATGCGGCCGAGTAACACTTGGAGGTCTCTGAGCCGGGCGAGTAACACTTGGAGGTCTCTGAGCCGGGCGAGTAACACTTGGAGGTCTCTGAGCCGGACGAGTAACAGTTGAAGGTCGCTGAACAGGACGAGTAACACTCGCTGGTTGGGAGGGTGGACACATTACAGATGACGGACGAGTGACACTCGAAGCACGAGGTACGTTTGCAGGTCGAGTCACACTTGGCGGTCGTGCAACATTCGGGGGATGAACTGGACGCGTCATACTCGGTGGGCGTACGGTAGGACGTCGAATAGGAGGATCTGCGCTACATGAACGACGTGGAACAATTGGTCTTGATGATTTCGTCATTTCCTGGCCTGAAAGTATAATATCAACGAAAATATGTGTACTTTATGATATATTATGAATGAAAACAAGAGCTGAAGATCAAACCCACCTCTACTCCCGTGAGTTGCAGCAGCTGGCAATCTTTTACCGTCTTCCTTCGGAGTGGACGACAAACCACGAGAACTTCGCCCTAAGCTCGAGTTGCGAATGACCAATTCGCGACGAAATTCGCATTCCGTTGGAACAGCGGTATTACGTAGGAAGGTGTCTAAATCACAGTGCATCAGTAGCTTTATAGAGGTGGATGAATCAAACAATGGCGTTGCTCGGCTTGGTGGGGACACCGAATGGTACTTAACAAAGCCTATGCAAACCATTTGTGAGGACCTGTAAAGTCCTGCGCCCAAAGAGGTTCACTTGCACGATCTCGCCGCTTCATAGGAGTTTACATGTTGCTACTAAGGCCTGCCAATTGAAATAAAGCGACAAAAGGAAAAACGAAAGTGCAGGATGCCCCGCCAAGTCGAACAGCGCCCAAGCATTTCTATTTGACACATTCGGACCGCCGTACTGCGCGTATCGTATTCCATCTTTTTCATCTGTTTCATCAGAAATTTCCTACACTGTTTCAATGGCTTATGGAAAACAGACGTTCGTAACCGGGAGCGGATTTAGGCTACATATAACATGAAGGACAAGTCAAATTAACCGAATAAAACACTGCACAGAGACCAACTCGTGACACACCATGTGTGTCACGCGATCCGGACGTGTTAAAGGCAGTCCCCGTGCTCAACTAACTAGTGAACGTCCTTCATTGTGGCAGTCTGACCCTAAATCTATAAGATTTACCCTTTTTCCGCGGTTTCACCGGTAGTAAGGGGGACGCATGACCCTCATCAGTGGTGACAGTTCTGACGCCTCCTCCCCACTTGCCTCCACCGAAACTCGAGCTACTTCCTGTGAAGACTTAATTTCCGTATTTTCCCGCCAAGTAAGATATTATTAGCATTGGACGATGCGAAGAAACGATTAGAGGTTAGATGCGACAGGATATCTTTCTCTGGCTTGAAAACGAGCTGATCGAACAGCTCATATTAGGGGGGGGGGCTGTAAGGAGGTTCTTAAGTTCTTCATGAATTTTTTTAGCACTTCTTTTCCTGGTAAGTGACTTGGCGACTATAGGTTCGTTGTAGAGCGCCCTAGCCACAATATTAATTTCGCGGGATTTCCCTAGTCTTGATTATAAGAACGTCAAAGCATTCCACTATACAAGAAACTATACCTCCTGCTCGAGAGCCCTGTGCAATACGCACTGGATGCGAGCGTTGCAAGCTCGCAGCCGAAGCACTGCTAGTATTCGTGCGTGGAGCCCTGTCACGTGCGACTCGTTCTGTTCCAACTTTCATTTGACGGACACCTAGCGCAAGACTCTGAAACTGCAGCTACTAAAAAATAGGAACCCATACATCCTAGGAATTGCATCGGACATACCCCCACTGGATCAGATGGAACTTCACTAGCCATGGTGTTTGTCTCAGACTCGAAGCTAAAGTGTTCATATATACTAGCGTATAAAATTTGAGAGGCAAAAGTAGCTTCCTACCTTATCCCAAGCTCCTTGGATCGAGCACGGGTAAGTGGTCCACTGGGTAGATAACGTTGGCGAGCAGTCGACCTGAAAGGGTCAGAAATGGTGTAACTGTGAAACAACGTCCACAAGAGCTGAATACACACCCAGTCTTTGTGCTGATGGACTCGCTGGAAGCTGCCACTGCATGGACTACAGGCTGTTTAGATTCAGATATGACTCGCACAGGGCTGAAACTAGGTAGATAGATGCAAAGCAACATTTTTCTTCTTTTCATGTTACGCTAAATGATAAATTGGTATCAAAAAAGTTTTGTAAAAGCGCCTCTGAGCGGTCCATAAAGAAATTTGAGCAACTTAACTCAATCCCAATAATTATGCCAAAAGTCACAATGCTGCATGTATCTAACCCCGCTGAACTTTACTACACAGAATCTTATTACTGCATGCCGGCGCGCCTCCTTCCGTGGTACAGCCCAAAATCGCCCCGCGCGTACATGTATGTTTGGATACTCAACTTACCCGCGTTATCTTTGATTTGCACACATGGCCAACGCCCCTCAACCAAAAGCAGAGATCCGTCTGGTTCCAGCACTTATACTGTCTACGAAAAGTGTGAGGACCATTCATAGTGCGAAACGGCCAGACGTATCACAGGAGCCGCACGGCGTAAGCCGGACCCAACTGGTATCAAGGTACTGAATGTAAGGGGTACACCGCTCATCCCGAGTACGCTCCGCCCATTCGGATGTGTCTCCTCTGAATACATACTGCTAATCGTGGTCCTTCTTTCCTAACAACCATGAACTGCACTGAAACCGAATTATGAATTTTGCTGCGACACGCTAACGGCGCATGCCCCGCCCATAGAGGACGCTTGGCCGAGGTCATGTTCGCTCTTGTCCCATGCCCTACTCATCCCAACTTTGCTCGATCTTTGCAAGTTGCTGAGGTAGAACCGCCGCACAAACAAACTAACGTAGCAAACTACAGAAACTATTTTCACTTGAAATCTTATTAGAGAGTGCTCGCTTCTTGCCAGCCACCAGTGATTCTACTATCCTTCCCCTTTATCACCTATGTGGACCAATGATGCTACCTGTTATTGCGCCCAGCTCTATGAATAGTGACAAATAGATAGACGCACGCATACGCAAAACATAGCAAATCATATAGCAGACCTCTGGCTAAAGGACTATGCGTACCCTGTTTTATATCCCCCTGTGCTTGCAGCAGGTCGAATCGGGGCAGACTTCTTCTCCTTAATACTTGAAGGCGTTAAACGAACCCTTGCAGAGAACGCACTGAAATGAAGTCATCGAGAAAGAAAACTAATTAGAAATACTTAGACGACAAAGAAATGACCCACGGATCAGCGCGTCGGGTAGCAGGCTGGGCATCAGCAGCGGATACCTGGGGTGCTTCACGAGTTGGTGTTCCGCGCAGTGCGGTGCGTCTGCTCGACGACGTATGATTTGCTGGAGACGGCGCTGAGAAAGGACTATAACTGACTAGCCATCGACCAACAATTTTGGAAAAAAAAATCGAGAGCGTGTAAGACACGATAAAAAAACCTGTCATTTTACCTATTGCACCTGCCTCTGCTGCCGGTTTGATCTGTGATCGACGTAGAACAGTCCTCTGTTTACCAAACATTGCCAGTCGGCTGAGATCTTCTACAGAAAATGTAGGTGCACAAACATATTCAACAAAGACAATAACCCATAATAGTTACCAAGATTCTCTGCGGGTTTGTTCTCAATCGATCCATGGTGCAGGTTTTCGTTCTGGACCAAAGGCTGCGGTTCACTGTCTACTGCTTCGTGTACAGTTGCCGTCACCGTTTGCGAAGGTGCAACGATTTCCTGGGTCATAGGTTGAGTTGGGGTGATTGACGACATTTGCTCGGTCTGAAAAGGGGTATTCACTATAAAAAGAACCAACCGATGCAGAGCAGGTCCCTCCAAGGAGGGAGCAGAGACGGGGAGAATTTATCCTAGGAGAGACCCGCTCAATATTTTGAATATGATTTATGCAAGTGAAACAAAGGAAAAGAAAAAACTTGCCTCACTCCTCACCGTGTGCTGCACTTCGAGTTCAGCCGCTTCGCCCGCTAGATACCCTGTAAATTCCTTAGAAAAGGACCGAGTATTGTGAAGATGAGAACCATATACAATCATTCACTTGCTCCAGAGCCTGGAACTCTTAATTGCCTCCATCTGATATGCTCCGTCATTACTTAACTGGCACTGTTCGGCTTGGGGTGGAGGGAGGGAGTCTGCACTTTCGCTAGTTCATGTTAAATTGAATGTTTAACTCTGGTAGGAGCTGTAGACTCTAGTCAAAAGTAAGCGAAACTCATGCAATTGCATAGATTCACTGGAATGTACAGGTCTCCACAGAAGGCATCAGAAGTGATCTCGACGGGAGCCAGCAAAATGCCCCACAAAGTCAAACGGCGCCTTTGTTTACATCAACCCAAGGAATGGGTGAATCAGCGATTCCCTTATCTTACTAGGAAGGGATTATTAGGTCAAAGGACCATTCAACTAAGATCTACAGCGACCGATTCATGTGTTTCTCAACACTGAATACGAATTCCATATCTAACCTCTCTGAACGCATTGATTTTGGAGGTGGAGCACAATCGCGCTCACATTGCGATATTCCGGGTTGTAACTTGCGCATTGCTTGGCCAGACAAGGCGGACCAGCTTCAGATTCAGCTATGACGCGCATCGAGAAGCTGCAATTGTTACCACGCTCCTGTGCTGCAGATGAAAGCGCAGACACAGACGGGTATCGATCGGCGCCGACCGCTGCGTGTTTTGGGAGAGTATACAAGAATAGGAAGGACCAGACTGTGTGACCAAGAAAAGCGTTCCCCTCCACTCTGACTGTGAGTGCATTGCAGTTATACGCGTCGCACGCGCGTATGCTCTCAGACGCACGCCTGAGCGCAGAGACCTAACGCGGCGCCATTCGCTTAAGCAGCCTTCGGCATCAAATTCGTACTGAGTGTGAAGATTCTCTTTCGCCAGCGATACTACCCAACTTATTCCAGAGGGTCCGCAGTGATATAATCAAACGGGCTTACACATCTAAAAGAATCACATTCCTCTTCACAACGAGAACGGACTACGACTGAACATCCTTCACTGGTTGGTAGGATGTGGGCTGCGGACAAGAAAATTTGGACACAGTAGTTTTGAGGTCAACAAAGGCCTGCTGGGAAAGTGAAAGAGGTGATTCAGTAACTAGTAATCAGAACAAGCAAAATACTAGGAAAGCCGTGGATGAAGGGTGCTAATTTTCCTGGTTTTTACAACTTATACTGCGCGGTCTTTGAGACGTGCATTGTCATGGAGAGGATGGACGGACGGCCTTTTGGTGAGCTTGCCGCTTAATGCGCGGGCTAGTTTCTGAGGGCTGATAGTTGCGGGTGCTAGCAGTCATTGTGTCGCCTAGCAGGAGAAGTCCAATTGCACCAGTCATCCCGAGCATCATAATACAGTTGCGCCCACATTCCTGCTGCAGGTCTTCAGCTGTTCAGATGTCACCTCAGACATCCTCCTTAGAACCCTTCTGCTGAATCGTTGCCAATATACAACAACGGCTCCGCCCATTGGCCACTCGACGCCCAACTTCCATTTTTAACGCCAACCTAATGGGGTGATTGTTCCGCTACTGACTATTCTCATTTCAAAATAAGAGTGAGGTAA